CTCCCCCCTACCCCCCCCCCCACCGGTCTATCACACAAGGGTGGCAATAATAGTTGAGAAAACGCAATAACCTTAGCAGCGTAGTGTATTGAAGTAGGATCTCCTTCAATATGAAACTCTCTGTATATTCAGGGTTCAAATATTACAAATTAAATAGAAAATAAAATTAAATTCTTCACAAGTACTCAGGGGTGTTAATTGTGACCATTGAAAGAAAAAGAACGATGTTTTCATTGACATCTTTAAAGGAAATGAAAGCGTAATCTTAATTGACCCTGCATGCAAAGATGGCAATGCCTGATTTACAACCCTTTAAACCTAGAGGTCAGGAGTCCGCGCCTTCGTCTCTCGTAAAACGTAAGCAGCGGGTTGAATTGCTGTAAAACGTAAGCTAGTGGTTTAAGTTGTCGTAAAACGTAAGCTAGTTGTTTGAATTGCCGTAAAACGTAAGCTAGTGGTTTGAATTGCCGTAAAACATAAGCTAGCGGTTTGAATTGCCGTAAAACGTAAGCTAGCGGTTTGAATTGCCGTAAAACGTAAGAGAGTGGTTTGAATTGTCGTAAAACGTAAGCTAGTGGTTTTAGTTACCTTAAAACGTAAGCTAGTGGTTTAAATTGTCGTAAAACGTAAGCAGCGGGTTGAATTGCTGTAAAACGTAAGCTAGTGGGTTAAGTTGTCGTAAAACGTAAGCTAGTGGTTTAAATTGACGTAAAAAGTAAGCTTGCGGTTTGAATTGCCGTGAAACGTAAGCTAGCGGTTTGAATTGTCGTAAAACGTAAGCTAGCGGTTTGAATTGCCGTGAAACGTAAGCTAGCGGTTTGAATTGCCGTGAAACGTAAGCTAGCGGTTTGAATTGCCGTAAAACGTAAGCTAGCTGTTTGAATTGTCGTAAACCGTAAGCTAGTGGTTTAAATTGTCGTAAAACGTAAGCTAGTGGTTTGAATTGCCGTAAAACGTAAGCTAGTGGTTTGAATTGCCGTAAAACGTAATTTAGTGGTTTGAATTGCCGTAAAACGTAAGCTAGTGGTTAGAATTGCCGTAAAACATAAGCTAGTGGTTAGAATTGCCGTAAAATGTAAACTAACGGTTTGATTTGTCGTAAAACGTAAGGTAGTGGTTTGAATTTCCGTAAAACGTAAGCTAGTGGTTTAAATTGCCGTAAAACATAAGCTAGTGGTTTGAATTGCCGTAAAACGTACGCTAGCGGTTTGAATTGCCGTAAAACGTAAGCTAGCGGTTTAAATTGCCTTAAAACATAGAGCTGACACCAAAATAGATTTTTAAAGTTTGAAAGTAAATCTCTATTTTTTGTAACTAGGTTTAAAAGGTACTGCTGTAAACCAGACACGTCACTTAACAAATGGATGGTCACTTGTAATTACGCCTAAAGTCCCTTTAAGTCTTGATAAACGCAGTTCAAAGCTGGATATCCTGTTATATGGATGAACTATAAGATGATAAAATTTAACATAAATTTGAATCACATAAAATCTAATAAATATTTGAAGATTTCCTCCTGCCTGAAAGTACCCGGGAGCTCCATACTTAGTAGATCAGTATCCAGGGGATAGAGATACAGGGGTAGTTCACATACACTTAGAGAACCATATACTCCACCCTCCTATACATAGATAGATACAGTGGTGGATCATATACACTTAGAGAACCATATACTCCACCCTCCTATTCATAGATAGATACAGGGGAAGTTCACATACACTTAGAGAACCATATACTTCACACTACTATACATAGATAGATACGGGGTAGTTCACATACACTTAAGAGAACCATATACTTCACACTCCTATACATTAATAGATACAGGGGTAGTTCATATGCACTTAGAGAACCATATACTCCACACTCCTATACATAGATAGATACAGGGGTAGTTCACATACACTTAAGAGAACCATATACTCCACACTCCTATACATAGATAAATACAGGGGTAGTTCACATACACTTAGAGAACCATATACTCCACCCTCCTATACATAGATAGATACAGGGGTAGTTCACATACATCTAGAGAACCATATACTCCACCCTCTACATAACACATACCATATACATAATTTTGATTTTTCTGTATAAAAAAAACCGGTCACGTTGAACATTGAACCACCTATTCAATTAGTTTTCATGTTCGCCTCTAGGTAAGGGCTGGAAGCTAACCCTTCTATTCCCGGGGGGGGTGAGGGGGAGGAGGGGGAGAGTTCTCATTAGACTTATTAACTCACCTTAAGTCGCTTCTCACAAAACAATGATTTTTTTGGAAGAAAAACCGCGTGATATTCTGTTTTTAACCCTGTTCCTCCTCTTCTCTCTTCTAATCTAAATTAAATATATTTTTCATATTTTTACCATTTTAATTTAAACTAAGAATAATTTGTCGTAAATCAGGATAATTCTTATATTTTAACCAACCTAATATTGGCTGAGATAACATCACAGTTAGATACAGTTGGTCGGATAATAAAGATAACATTGTCCGCCTTCAAGGCAGGGAGTCCGGCGGGGTTCAATGGGAACATCTTGATCACGTCATGCTCCTTGAGCACGGAGTATTCAGCGATAAGTCCGATGGGTCCGATGAGACACTCGTCCCAGACCAGAACCTTGGAACCGGATATCCGGTCTAGTATACCCAGTAACTCCTGAACAATCATAAGAATGCTATGGGTTCAAATTACAAGGACGTTACTGTCTACCTAACCAAGCATACGGAGATTAATCCTACCTACAGTATCTGACAACCCAGCTCCCGGAGATTATTCCTGTCTATCCAACTCCCGGAGATAATTCCTACCTATCTACCCAGCTCCCGAAGATAATTCCTACCTGTCTATCCAGCTCCCGGAGATAATTCCTACCTGTCTACCCAGCTCCCGGAGATCCCCAACCTTAACTCGACCAAGGTTCAGATGACTTCGAGACATTATTCTGAAAATTTAAAATTTATAGGTTTTTCAAATCAGAAATTGAATAAAATAATTATTATCACTTTTCAATTTAATCACAGCTGTGGTTTATATATCGAAGACTGAATAAAAATGAACTTAAAAAAAATGCATTCAAAGAAACCTGCATGGGACGTTTCGATAAAAATACGCTTGCGATTTGTATAAAATAAACTTCTATAAAATGAGATGTCAAAAATAAAATTCTGTGTCTTTTACTCATTTTAGGCACATTGAATCTTAAATATAATTTAGAGATAAATCAACCATAAAAAAGTATGTAATATCAAATCATTTTCGTGGGTTTAATAATATGTTTTGAGCTCTCATTAGTTTACGAGGAATTACTCCTCCTTTGGGCTGGGCCTGTCCCCGTTCATCTTCCAGATGGAGTAGTTCAGCATAGTCGCTAGGCTCAACCAGGCCAGGTAGGGGGCCATCAAATAACCTGGAAAAGGACTGGTTACATTTCATCCATTTTGTATTCCTTTTTTAGATATTTATAAATAGATTCTAGAACAATAGATGGCAACGTAGAATTTGTACGCTCTCAGTACAGTTGTATTCGGACATCAAAGTGTCATTTCAGTTTTTGTGTCCGACAAAATTGTCAATAATAGTGATAATTTTAGAATAAAGAGCTTATCTTACATTAAATAAGTGCAATTTTATGTGTTCTGTAATTTCTATTTTTGCACTTTTCTCTGTTGCCACCTATTGTACTTGAAATTATATTTGGACATTTGAACTTTAAACACAACTAATAGCACTAATAATCTAGAATTGCTTGTGACCACTACAATACCTATTCTGGGTCCAGCGCAAGGGTATATTATTTTTAAAATTACCCCAACCCATGGAGGATCTACGGGAAAAATTAAAAATAAGACTTTGAAGTAAAAGTTTTTTTTTTTTTAATCCCTTTATGATACTTTTTAATCAAAATTCAGCGAAAGTAAACTATACAAATTAAAAAGTTTTCAATGGGGGTGGGAATTTTTTTAAGGAAATATACAACCCTGATGCGGCTTGTAACCTGTTATTTAGAACAGGCTGATACACAATATTATAAATTACCTGCGGTTTTATTGACTCCGTAGAAACTGAGTCCGCAAGCAGCAACATTCACCCATAAGGCGCAGATCAAGTAGAAGCCTCCCTAGAGTTAGAAATCAAAAATAATCTACAATACATCCAATATGTCAAGAATTTCTTCATGTTACACCCTCTTGTAAACTTGAAACTCAGGGGTCTGAAGAATTAAGAATTGCGTAAAAATTAATACGTAGACGTCCGTGTAATTAGCTAAAAAGTTTCATCTCTTCATGATACATTCCTCTCCCCTCCCCCCTTCACAAAAAAATTCATTTGTTTTAACTCCTAAACTCCAGCAAAATATAGTTAATAACCCTGTAAATAAAAAGCTGGAATACTAACCTTGACATTATGCTGTCCAAAGAATACCGGGGTCCAGGCCCAGTTCAGCGCTAACTGAGAACCATAAAGCGCCAGAGGGACAGCTGCGCCGCTAAACCCTCCACCGTCCCGGTACACCAGGTAGCTTGCGTACCCCATGGAGGCGTAGAGAGAGGACCAGACTGGACCAAAAGCCCAGTTTGGTGGTCTCCATTCAGGTTTCTTGATGTGCCTGTACCAACCCTAGGGAACATAATATCAGTAAAAATTTAAGCTGTGCCTTTTGCACTAAACAGCTAAACCGAATAATTTACTTCAATAAATCCGGGGAAAAGTTCTAAAAAATTTGTACCTTGACTTCGGTCCTAGTAATGAGAGAGCCAGGTAGAGCACCGACGAAGGGAGCCAGGGTTGCTCCGATAGCTGGCAGGTTCAGCTCAGGTAGCATTTTCTATCTGCTCAACAGGAAATATAAATTACTAGAAAATTATCTATCACAAATAGTTAAATATGCTGGTTATGCTGGTATTTACAATTGAAAAGACGTATGAAATATCACTGTAACAATAAAAACTGACTTGACCAATGTTATATATGAAATGAAAGATTTGATTTAAATTCTATGGTCCAGGGAAAATAACATCCCCCCCCCCTCCCAGTTCTAACCCGGACCCATATCAGGAAAATGAATCAAATTCAGATGTGAATCTTATTGTCAAATTGAATCTTTTTCTTTGTTAACTGTCAAACCCATGACTTTTTCTTTTATTAAATACGGAAGAGGAAGGGTTTGTTCAAGACTTTATACCTAGGGTTTCCATCGCAAGTGGATTTTACTTGCGCGCAATTGCGAGCCCTGTAAACTCCTAACAATTGCGCGCAATTACGCGCAACGAAATTGCGATTGGAAATCCTAACCGGATGTCATTCCAATTTACAATAAATATTTCAAAAAATTGGAATTAAAACTTGCTTATAAAGTTAAATGTTAAATGTTAAAAGAATAAGTTAGAAAATAAAGGTCACGTTATTGAATTCATATAAACTATCACAAACAATAAGCAAGCGTTATAGATAAAAATATTCCTCTTTACATCTAAGAATATTTTTTTACAGAGATTTCTGATATTATGTATAATCTACATTTCTAATTTTAAGATTCAAATCAATATCAATTAGTACTTAATTTATTATAATGAAAATTCATCTAAAGTTTTAATAAAAAAGTGCAGGAAAAGAAACCGAAAAAACTAGGTTTAATTTTTACGAATTTTAAATTGTCCAAAAATGAAGGTGGGTGATATTAAAAGACCAGGCAATTCCAGGAAACCTGACTAGTATATAAATAAAAGTTGAAATTGTTATTTTAAAGTATTTTTAAGCATTACGTATATGTTTAAGTTTGTATGGCTATAAACGTTCTAACACTACGCTGAAAATTTGTAAGTGAAAATTCTTATTGTTTTAAGATTTACAATTTAAGATGTATACAAATAAATAGGCCTCTAAAGAACCCTAGTGTACTGTTAACACATTTCTAATTTATAATCTAGATTTGTAATAATAAAAATAAAGAAAACAAAAAAAGCCAAATCTCCGATAATGAAGTCTTGGAATTTGAGAACATTTTTGATAAAGAAAATCCAAGTTCAAAAAAAGATCACTAGAAAAAGGGAATTTCTCAGTGACTTGAAAAAATCTAAATTTTTGGTATCGTGTAAAAAACAAATTAACTTTCGCGATTTAAAAAAAAAACATTTTAACTAACTTGGATAAAAGTATAAAAATATAAATAATACTAATATTGAAAATAAACTTTTGCTTCCGACAAATTCTTATAAAAAGATATAAAAAACGTAAAATATAAAAAAGTTAAAAAGCAAGGATCGTCTTTTTTTCTTGAAGAAAAACTGCCATCAATCAAAAGTAGTCCATTGTTTCTTTGATCTAGGTGGGACAGCAGGAGGGATGGGATCCATTCTAGGAGAAGGATTAGATCTACTAGGAGTAGGTTTACGGAGAGGATCTAGTTCAGCAAGGATATCGGAGCTACCAGGCAGTCTCTGGTTCACTGGCATCTCCGTAGAGTCTAATAGTCCTGGTTTGAAGGATGCAGGGATGTTTGGAGAGTTGTAGAGAAAACTATTGTTAGGTTTAGATATGGAGGGAACGCGGGGAGGAACTAGAGGGGTGGAGGAGACAATTCCGTTTGTTTGGAAACTAGGTCTGGAGTAGGATGCACCGGACCCGGAGAGAGTAGGTTGCTGAGATAAGGACGGACTAGGAGTAAAAACAGTATTATACAGGATAGGACTAGGAGTTTGTGAACTCTGTACACTCATCTTGGAGAAGTGTAAACCGTACTCGCTGAGCAGATCCTCCGAGGACCGGGTTGAAGGTTGATTTTGCTCCGTCATTGATGTTAGGAACTGTTTAAACTGAGGTTGGTTTCCTCCCCCAGGAGGAACATAGTTCTCATACTTCCCAGCACTAGCGGTCAGTCGGTCTGGCAGGGTAGAGTTAGTCACGGATATGTAGGGGTTTGTGGTTCTAGAGAGTTTCTTCTTGTGACTGCTCTGATCAGACCTGGAGTTGGAGCTGGCCAACGGATCAAAGATTATATCGTCAGATTCGCTCCCCAGATTTATCAAATCTCCAACGGACGATTTCCGGGACGAGGTTCCGCTAGTTCTTTCAGTTTCCTGTGCTGAGCTGGTGCTGGGCAGTTCTCTGGCCTTGTTCCGGTTCAAGATCTCATCAATGTCATTCATTAGATCGATTTCTAACCTTGGGAGATCCTCCATATCCGGGCTAAAACCGTCCGGCGTCGAGGTCGGATCAAATCTTTCATATTTCAAAACCCGTCCAAAGTTTAAATCCGTGTTCTGTCTCGGAAACTGGGAATTAGAAATAGTTCCGTATTTGTTTAATGTAGAACTCCGACTTTGAACCGGAGATGATGGAGCACTGTATGGACCAGACTCAGTATGCATTTCCTCTTTATTATTCCATCTTGACTTGACATCTCTGTAGGTAGCTTTAGCTTTCGATTTAGCTATTTTACTTCCATCCATCACGTTCTTCATTGCGTCTTTTACCGCAGGGTTAGCTTTGTTCTTCACTTTCTTAACTAGTGCGCCGCTTTCTTTTCTTACATTTTGTTTGATAACTGTAAACTTTTTGTTCGGTTTCTCCGTGAACCCGATACATTCAAGTTCAAACTCGTCGGAGAAACTTTTCCCAGAGTTGAGAAGAATCAATCTTTCTTCTATAAACTGTCTAAATATTTGGAGTTCTAGCATCTTAACCAGAAAAGGTTGAACACTACTGGATCTAGACAGGATAAAATCATCTTCACTAAACGTTATTCTCTCTCCTTGTCGATGCTTGAGTGCGTCTCTGTATCCACCGATGAGATGAACAAGCGCCTGGAGAAAGGCGCGTGCAACGCTTTCACCAAGAAGGTTTGCAGGAGATTTTAAACTTTTTTTTAGGTTTGAAAAAACCTCGGAGGGAAGACTTTCCAGATCGTCGAACGGAGTTTCAACCCTGTTATTATCCGCGTCCAATATAACCACGTCACCAAGTTCAGATCTCCGGGTCCGCTTCATAATAGGCTCCGGAACCCCGATAAGAAATGGCATCGGAGCACATAGATAGTCCATAAGCTGAACCGGAAGAACTGGAATGAAAATATGTTGCCAAGACATTGGATAAATGATTGAGTTTGCTGCTTGAACACAGGCGGATAGCCTTGACAGCTTTTTACTTGTCACTATTATTCTCCGCTCCGTGAGCATAGATGCAAATATAATCAGCATATTGTTCGTGTCTACAGCATTATAGTACTCAGTGAGGTTCCTATTCTCCGGTATACTGGGAAGGTTTAGCGGGTTTGGTATCGGAGACGTGAAAACCTGACCCTGACCGTACTCCAGGTGGAAGGTTAACCCAGGAGGAGGAAGTTTACTATCATATACACGCTCTAGAAACCTCCATAATTCTCCTGAAATATAGAAAACTAATCATTTTTGCCCAGAACTAAAAAGATAATAAGTTTCAACTAAAGATAATAAGTTTCAACTAAAGATAATAAGTTTCAACTAAATACTCTCTCTCTGATCTTTTCTTTGGAGGCGAATATTTTTAAATGAGATCAAGTTAATCTCTACTTGATGAGAAAATTAATACTTTTAAATTGAAAACTGTTTGACAAATCTGACTGATCGCGTTTTTAATGATATGAAAACGGTAAAGCAAAAACCGTGAGTTAAAAAGGACTTGCTTATTTGTGCACCTTAAATTTGTCCGTACATTTAATAGCTTCCAGTTCATTTTAATGAAAATCTTAGTAAATTTTACCTGAATCCTTGTTCTGGATTTGGTCTGAACAGAGGTTAAGAAGTTTATAGAAGAATTCATGCCAAGGAAGAGAACTGAGTAGGACGAGAGCGGTTTCTCCGTTCGGAGCATACCGACAGAATCCAAACGTCCATTTAGCCTCAAGATTGGTTAGAACGAAGGAGAAGTGTTCAACATTCGATCTAAAATCACACACTTAAAATAATGAACAATAATAATTATGGGGAGAGAGAGATTTAACCAACAAGACTAAAATAATTTTGATGTTGGGTTGAGTGGGCTATTCTTGAATATACAGGGTTACCCACAAAGGATGAAACTTCAAGAAACGATTGTACGGAATTATACCGTCTGTTTCCTAACATTTGTGATTCTCCGTAACTAACTTGTTTCTGTCTTTGCAAAATCAATAAAAAGGCCATATATGACTATCTTTTCAAGTCTCATCTTTTGTGGGTAACCCTGAACTAGATTTGATGTGCTCGATGTAAAAATAACAATTTTAATAACTTACATAGGGAACTTGCAAGGGAATGCGAACTGAGGAACAGATTTAAGAATATCGGTTTCCTTCTCCTTGTACGAGGTGGGGAAGGTTTGTATTATCCAGGGCTGCTCACTCTAAATAAAACAGATTTAAGAATATCTGTTTCCTTCTCCTTGTACGAGGTAGGGAAGGTCTGCATTATCCAGGGCTGCCCACTCTAAATAAAACAGATTTAAGAATATCTGTTTCCTTCTCCTTGTACGAGGTAGGGAGGGCTGCCCACTCTAAATAAAACAGATTTAAGAATATCTGTTTCCTTCTCCTTGCACGAGGTGGGGAAGGTCTGTATTATCCAGGGCTGCTCACTCTAAAAAAATTTCTTTTCTCATAAATACTTTGTTTTTTATTGTCATAAATTTTATTATTATTGGATATTCATTTAATTTATATTTTATTTGTCAATTCTGTCATATAGGACTGATGCTGATGTAGAAAAACATTGAAATAAATTTCCTCCTACAAATAGAGAACACTTTTAACCAATTCGGATTTATACAGTCTTAATAATAAATTCATGAATTATCATTTTTTTATTGAGGTTACTTCTTTACTAATGTTCAAATTTTAAAATCAAATTAATTTCTTTGAGGACTGACTCTATGGACTCTGTAAATAACCACTCGCAAATCTATAGTTTTCAATTTATAAACACAAGATTAGAAATGATCATTTGCATGAAAAGTGCCATAATCGATTCAGATTTATAAAAAAAAAAAAAAAAAAAAAACGGAGTAAATAACGAAAAAAATTTACGAAAAATTTCGTAAATATCGATTTTAATAGCATATGCATATTTAAGTCATATATGTATCTCTATGAATATCATAACAATACAATCAGAAATTCTCTTCAATACTTAACCAGCAGGAACATGATCAAATCATAAACATAATATTGTACCTCCTTATATTTATTTAGGGAAACCTTATCTATACCAGTTTTTTGACAAATTATGTCATTTAAATCGCTCTTTTGATATAGATATTTACGAGTCGAATTTAAAAACACAGGGGCCCAACTTAGATATATTACACAACAGAAAAGATAATATCTCCCACACCGATACTTCTGGTTAAACCTTAACATTGTGAATATCCCTTACATCACTCTCCTTGACATAATTTCTTTTCATCCAAATCCACGAAAATATACCTCTGTCTGAGAAGGAATTATCTCAAGAAATGCTTCAAAGATGTGGCGCGGAGTATCCCGAATTCTAGAACCCATTTTGCAACCAAACCAGGAGCAATATTTCAGCTCATTTGTTTTAACTGTGAACACGCATTCTCATTTTCTGGAACATGAAGTTGAAAAATTACTGAATCCATTCCATATCGTTATACGAGGCCGCCGGATCCTAAAAATAAGTGTAAAAACGGCAAACGTATGAAATGTTTAGATAATAACCAATTAGATCCACGCAGGATCATTTTTAATTCGATCACATTTCATGCACTTGGTAAATAAAAAAGAAAAAGGTGAAATCCGTAAAAAATCTGTCACGATCTTTCTATGGCGGAGAAACTTCCCACAGTAACAGTGTACGGTTCTAAATCAGCTGATTTGAAGCGAAACTTTCTTATTATATTTGATATATATATATTAACCTTAGTCTCTAATTTATAATTAATTGTCCGAAGGACGTTTTATGTTTATAAATTACAAGTATTTGCATCTAGAAAATTTGTTGAATAAATGTGGTTTGGTAAAGATAAAACTATAATTCTAGAGCTATCCTACAAATACTTCGTAAGTAAAATTTTAAAAAACATTTATATCTATATAATCTGTCTAATAATTTGTCTAATCACCCCTATCCTCACAAATTCTCTTTTGCCTTCACTTTCTTTACTCCGCTCCTTTTAATCAGTAAAAATACTGACATAACAAAGAATTTAAAGAATTTTGATGCGAGCGTATCGAAGTGTATTATGATGGGGAACCTACAGGGTGTCCCACATCAAATTAGACCGCGTCAATGGGTCTAGATTACGATTTGGGGGACAAATCAAAATTTAAGAAGAATGAATCATTTTGAAAAATTTAATAAGGCGAATAGAATTTTTTTTGCAGGAAATGCTAGATTTTTCGAGTATTATGTGAGTATTTAGGTGTTAAAGATTGAAGATAATCTAATTTGATATGGGACGCTCTGTATATAATTCACCGGCTTTATGAATTTTCTTTGAATTAACTCGTAAAAGCGAGAGCCAAAGTTTCACTTAATCTATTAATTACAGATTACACATTTCGAAAAATGTATAATAAATGGTGTTATACGTTGGTAGCTAAGAATCAGCAACAATAGATTAGATAATGCCAAAATATTTGCATAATATTATTAATTAAATACAAAATAAATTTAACAATCACATGTCCCAATAGTTACAATAATACAATAATTTATATAAGTCTCAATAAGGGATAATTCCTTCAAGCAATGGGAGTTTCATATTTTGATATTTAACATAATATATCCTTGTTAAGTTTGATGATGCGAATATGCGTATTCTCTACTGCAGTTCTGTCCCTGTCTGGCACAGATGTAACGCCTTGTTAAGATTAAGAATAGTTGTTGGAAGATCATCATAGTCTAGAGAACTGATAGCATACTTGCAGTACTTCTGAGCCTTAGCAGCCTGTTCTACACTCAGCTTTATACCAGACCTAGATATATTTCAGTTCAATTAATTTCCAAATAAACGAGAGGGGGGGGGGGGGGGGGGGAGTGTATTGATTTCTTTAGAATTACCGGTTTCAAACTACTCTCACTATATAAACTGTGTTTTCTTTGATTCTTAATTCATTTGGTGTTACTTGGTAGAAGAGAGTTTGGATGTTTAAACGAATGTCATCTATTTAGAAAGAAATCAAAGTAAGTTTACATCAGCGTCCATGGTTGGTTTAAGCCTTACTGAAGCTATACTCAGGATCCAGGCATACATACGTGCGTGCGCGCAGCAATTGTACATATTATATATAGTAAAATGGGAATAGATCAAATGCCTAATTTCAAAACAGGGAGAACTAGGTATTCCAGCTATGTCATATTTCCTATGTATCCTATGAATGAATTTCATAAGTGCCCTAAGTGTTCTGTTCTGTTCTTTTCCTATATATCTTATGTTTTCTATGTGAATTCTATTTATCAAGTATCCTAAGTACCTTAAGTACCCTATGTATGTATCCTATGTATTCTATGTGTATTCTTTATATTCTAAGTATCCTATCCTATGTATTCTATGGAATTCTATTAATCAAGTATCTTAAGTATCCAAAATAAACTAAGTACCCTAAGTACCCTATGCATCCTATGTTTCCTATGTACCCTATGTATCCTATTTACTCTATGTGTATTCTATATATTCTAAGTGTCCTATCCTATGTATTCTTTTTGAATTCTATTTATCAAGTATCTTAAGTACCCAAAGTAAACTAAGTCCCCTAAGTACCCTATGTATCCTATGTATCCTATGTATCCTATGTATCCTATGTATCCTATGTATTCTATGTGAATTCTATTTATCCTATATATCCCATTATAACACTATACAGGTTACCCACATGATGAGACTGTAAAGACGACCTGAAACCCTTTAAATATGATGATTCCATTGATAAAATAAGACTCCTGTCTAAAATATAATAATTTAATAGCTTACTTATGCCAGGTGCCGCAAATCACACTTTTTTGTATAACTATTGAATAATTACCCCGATGGTTGAATATTAAGAGTGTTGAAGTTATTGATTGGATTAACAGGTACAGCTGGCTGGGCGGCCTGGAATATCATACTAAATCAATTTTATATCGTGAGAGAATAACGCGAAACAAACAGATAATGCATTTACTCGTGATATAAATCAGAAACGTGGACAGTTGTTTGCTAAAATTCATTCTCTGAATTAAGAATATTACTGATTAAATTATGTAAACTTTATGCAACGAGTATTTATGGATCCAATTTACGGAACCTATTTTCGAATAATGTGTTCAGAATGTATTCGTCTTGGAACACTGCAGCTAGAATTGTGTTTAAATTATATAACCTTAATGCAACGAGTTTNACCGGGGTTTCCCCGTTCTTCAGACAATTGTGTATATACGCAGCTTTCCATTTTGCGTATTTCTTGTGATGCGTTACTTCAGGGGTTAGTTCCCCAAAGGTTGTGAGAACATCAAACAGCATTCCGCTAGAGTAGAACGCCTAAAATTTTCAATTCAAATATTTCAGTAAATTTTGGTGTTATTGCAATAATATAATGGGCCAGCCAGATAGAGGGTTGTTGGACAATTTAATTTCTGTTTGTATGTCCGATCATAACTCATGAACCCCTGGACTGAGTTGTCTCAAATTTAAATTGGGACACTCGGAAGATCCACGGGAAGGTTCTTAGTCTAGCTTAAACATTCTAGGTTGAGTGGGTTGACGTTCAAAGGGAAAACTTATTTCCAGACAAAGCTGGGTTCCTAAGTTAGCATTCAATAATTTGATAATAATTTAATAATACTTTTTTGAGAATGTTAATTATTCAATAATGTGCTATTATAATTATGATTTATTTATCTCTACTAAATCTTTTTTATTTATTTATGTTCTAAATTCTTGCCTTAACGACATTTTTGTTAAAATTTGCCGCTCTATCCTCCTTGTCTGCCCAGAGGAACAGCTTCATGGCGTGATTCTCTATATGAGCAGATGCAACAACCTTCAAATTAATATTTATTTTTAAAGTATTCATTATATTTGTTTCAAACATTTAACATGGAACGTGTATCTACAACTGTAGGTAGTCCAATATCTTGAACAGAGCAAGAACATAGAAATTTCAAAGAATTTCTAAAATTCGACGGTCCTTGAGTTTGAAATAAGATTTGAAAAGAAACCATTGAAACTTTTCTGGCACTGAACAGTATTATTTGACATAAATAATAAGTTTGAATTTGTTACTTAAATCCAAAGATTTTAAATTGGAAACTGGGTGGCGACCGCGGGCCCCCTGTAATTTTAGTAAATCTCACTTCGTTAGAAACAGCCTCGTTCCCGGCCATTTCCTTCTTAGTTTTCTCCAACCAGTCCATCAGTGGTAGTAGAACTGCTAAAGCTTCCTAAATACAAATATTATTTTTTGTTTTGTTTTTGGACACACATTTTTGTAATTCTAAGCATCAATAAACCTTCCCTGGGGTCATATGAGGTCAAATACAAAATTTGGGCCCGATTGGTTCAGCCGTTTTGACGTTTATTGGATACTAAAGGACAGACCGACAGATACGCAAAGTATTTATTAATTTCGAACATAATAAATCTCAAATATAAATCCCTATTAGAAAATATAATAGCTAAAAGATAAGCCATCTACTTCTAGCGAGACCAGTGGCCGAATTTAAAGAATTTGAGCGGCGGTTTAAATTTAAGCCGCGACTTAAATATGGTTGGTTCCACTTACAATTGTATCAAATGTTTCAGGATTTTAGCCGCCGCTAAATCTAATCCGGATTTTGGCGGATTTAAACCGCGGCTCAAATTCTTTAAACTCCATCTCCGTAAAACTAAATACCTTAGAAGATTTATCTAGTCCTAGTCCTGTTTGTAGAGCTGTAAGCCTGCACCAGTAAGCTATTACAGGATCCCTTGTCTCATGCTCTGTAGCAGTCTTTAGATAATGCTGAATAGGTTTCAGGGAGGGAGGACACGGAGCTAGGTTTAGCGCCATATTTAATTTCTGAAATATTTGAAAAATATTAAATATTTACTTTCTTAACAAATCCCGGAGCAAGAACTCCCTTGGGAGGATCAACCTTCCCCTCCTTCAAGGTTTTCTCCAGGTAGGTTTGTAACCGAGCAGTTGGACCCCCATCGGTCTTAACAGCCTCCAGGCGGCCCAGGAAACATGAGTTCACAAAGGAGAGAAGTTTAAAGAACTGGGTTCCGTACTTGATCAACATCAGGTTACCGGTAGTCTCCAGGACCACTAGGAGAACAGTAGCAGTAACATCAGGTATAGGTTCCTGGTTCATCAGCTCAGCTAGAAACTTCCAGATCAGTTTAGGACCAAAGGGATGAACTGTGTTAGAACCTTGAGGTTTATTACTTGCAGCTATACCAGCAAACAGTCTTGCAAGCCCTGTCATTCTCTTCAAGTATTTATCCTGCTTCTCTATCACATCCTTTTCATACTTGTAACCAAGAGCAACATAAAAATCCTTGTCTGACTGTCCTTCTAGCCTTCTCGGATTGTACGGAACAAGAAGCGGACAGAATTCAAAGAAGTATGCTAGAAGGAGTTTCCCAAAATCGGGAAAACTATCCCAAAGAGCAAGTGCTACCGATGCGAATGGAAAAGCACTCTCCGCCTTAGAGCTGACCACTTCTTCGCCTTGGCGGACAATCTTCTTTGCTGCCATGGCCATACAAAATTTAACTCCGGATGGATGTTGGCTGGCACATATCTGCGTATCCTTCATTACTACTGGTCTACCAGCCAGCAGTAAGGTCAGCTTCTCTAGCTTATCGTTCAGGTGCTCTGTAGTCTGTGCTGAGATTGCGTTAAGAGCGGTGCTGATTGCAAGCATTAGCTCAGACTTGATTTTCTTCTCCTGGTCTGAAAATACAATATCTCCGATATATTTAGTCTTGAAATCAGATATCTCGGCTCTGTAAGCGTCTACGGAAATGCTTGGAATAACAGGAGACGATGCTATGGCCGGTGTTGAAACTTCCTCAGCCTTCTGCTCAGTAACTTCTTTCAGCGCTTGTTGCGCCTGCGTCGCTGTCTCTGCAGCTGCTTTTTCTTCTGCTTCTTTTACTTTTGTAGCGGCTACAGCTGCTTCGGCTTCAGCTTTCTCCTTCTCGGCGAGCTGTTCCAACATTAAAATATTTTCCTCTAGGATCAAGATGGAGGATTTAACTCCGTTCTCTAGGGATATAACATTCTCCCAGTCGGATTCATTCGCTGATCCATCCCTTGTCTTCTGCTTCATATCCTCAACCATGGTTAAGAACATATCGTAGATATCAATAGCGTCCTGGCTAGCTTCGGACAACTTGGATGGATCTGGAACGGAATTGTAAACATCCACTAGCTTGAGCACAGTTGGTTTTATCTGATGCAAGATTAACTTTTCATATTTGTCGGTTTGTTCAATAATCCTTTTCTCCCGCTCCTCCTCTTCTCTGATCTTATCCTCCTGCTCCTTACATATCCGGAGAAGTTCATCGTTCTCATGTTTTCTCAGAAGATCCGCAGCTTTTTCCTCATTTTCCCGTCTTAGAGCATCCTCTCGGTCTCCTAATAAATAAATAAGTAAAATGTGAATAATTATTTAAGTTTTTGTATAATTTATGTTCACATTTAATCATATTTTTATTTAATTAGTTCGTGTTTTTTTATCAATAAAGTTATGAGAAGAAGAAGGTAATTATTACATGATGTGATCATAGTGAATTAGGGACATTATCCCCTCCATCTCTGAAAAACCCAAAACATTAATTAATATGCAACCTAACATTATATTTTTAAAGATTTGTTCTAACATCAAGAATTTATTTTTAAAACAAAAAGAACCCCTTGGCCCTTGCAAAATGCAAATACTATTTTAAACCCATAGAAATCCGACTTGCCATAGAAAAAGCGACTTGATTATTACTAAAAAAAACTTTCTACAACTGAAACCCTGATCAGAAGGACATACCGATATAAATAATACCGTTAAAATCAATTTAACTTACTCTTTATTTCTTCAAGTATCGCTTCTTCTTGTTCTTTCATAATTCTTCTCTCCTCCTCCTTCTCCTCCTGATATCTTAACTCCGCCTGCTCCGACAGTTCTCTGCTCTTCATGTTCAGCTTCTTAATCAACTCCGCAGTTTTCCTCTCGGACTCTGCACTCATCTGCTCCCGGATATTGATCAGGGCCTTATTTATCTTATCCAGCTCAGGTTCAGGATCCTCCTCCTCCTCCTCCACCTTCTCTTCTTCTTTCTCAGGTTCTTCCTTAGTCTCCTCTGGTTCCAGGTTCAGGAAGGGGCGGATACTGTCCAGCTTGAGTCGAACTAGGTTTACGGAAACATTCCGCTTCGAGATCTTCTTCAAGAATCCCGGAGTATATTGGTACACAGAGCTATCACTTAGATTTACCTAGAAATATACATGAACTTTAAATCTTTAACAAATGATGAGATGGGGTTTCGTTATCCCGAAAATAAAAATCTTCATAAATATAACAAATAATTAAACTGGCGTATTAGATAATCAAACTAGTGAAAAATATGCTTACACTTTTCACTGGTTCCGTCTCCTCAATGAGTAGTGTAGTGGAAGTATGAGGAGATGAGGGACTGAAGATGAACTGTTTCTGATCTATATTCCTCTCCATACTCCGATCCACATTCACCTCGACAGGACGGATACGCACAAATTTTTCCGGGGTGTTAAAGGAATCTGAAGTTTTGGGGCCAGACTTCTGATATCTCTTATTGTCTAGGGATGAGTTTAAACTCATCCTCATTTCTTTTTTATAAAGTTTGGTTTTCTCCTGTATTAATCCTGAACTAGTTGTCCTTGATACATATTCACTGCTCAGGTTTAGATTTATTCTCCGGGTTGATGAGGAATCAGGACTGTATGAGGTTTTACTATAGTTCGGGAGAAGATCAGGGCTGGGTTCTTTCTCTTCCTGGACGGAGATGTGAGCAGAGCGAGCACAGGATGACTCGTTGTCTATGTTGATCTAAAACGATAAAAATATATTTCAACTGTTGAGTGATAAAGTTTAAAGAAGTTTTGTTTTGAATCTTCATGACAGAAAAGAAAACTGAAGAGTTTATGAGATTTGTTTCAAAATAACTTTTACTTTATTTCTTTTACTTTATTTATTTTATTTTAGTATTGAACTTTAAATCTTTAAACAACTTTAAAGCGGTAAATTGAATTAGGAAACTTCAATAAAAAGTGAATTAAAAATTTCTCTAATTAAGTTTCCTCCGACCTGGTTAAAATCAAGAGTTAGTTCTCCAAGAACCCGTTCAACTCCCTCCCTTGACGCAGCCCAATCACGATCATACTCTAGACGACCCTTACCACTTCGCTGTAGGAAGGAAACAACTTGCTCAACCTGAACATTTGAAAATTGATTTTTAGAATTTTATTCGCCATTTTAAACTTCAACATGGATTTTCACAAAATATTCTAGGTTAAAGTTTTAACCAGTGCTTAGGATCCGGATCAGTTGGATCCGCAAGATTTTGGCTTCCTGGATTCGGAGCCGCAAATATATGCGCATCCACGGATCAGGATCCAAGAGGCAAAATATCAACCAAAGAGTGCAAACATTTTTTTTACTCTCTAAACCCAAATCTGAACTATTAAAAAAAGAGATATTTTAAAATTTCCTAATTTCTGAATGGCTTTTCAAATTTGAGCATAAAAATAAGCGAAAAAAATAAGACACAAATTTCGAAAAATCTGCGTTGTTAAAAAATTTCAGTAAAAGAATATATACGTCTACAGACTTGTGCACAAAACAATTAAATTTTATTAATTTTGAATTTGGTTAAACATAGGATTTTTTTTTACTTATTAATGTGAACCTGTGGTAACCTTAAACGTCTTAAAATACATGAGCAACAAATTATTTTGAAAAAAAATATCTATTGTTGAAAGGAAAACATAGAATACTGTTATGATAATTATCAGGAATTAAAAGTTCTGTTGCGGGGTTTCACATCTCCCTCTCCCCCCCCCCACAAAAAAAGCTATTGCGCCGTTTACTAAGAGATATACTTTCTGTACAGTGAGCAATGAAAACTGCACCAGTAAGTTAAAGTAACTTTACCTCAGACATTTTAGAGATCTTTCAGACTTTCAAAACATTATTTTAAGTCTGAAAATGTAAAAACATTAAATGCAAGAAATATATCGACCACCAAATTCATCAAGAAAATTTAGGTCTGATCAGTCCTTTCGTCATATCAAAACTGTTTCTGTCATCATGGACGGAAAATTCGTGTCCGTTTTCCTCCATGACACGGAGATATCCAAATTCGTCCAGGCCGACGATTTTAACAATGTCCACTCTACTGCATTTATTCTGACTGTTTTCCGGTTCTATTTCCAGTTTGATCTCCTGGTTCTCATGCAACCAATACTTGTAATATCTCTGAATAATTCACAAATCAATTATTTAACAATTTTTCAAGGTGTTTAGTGTTGACTGTTCAATATTTAGGTTTAAGTAAAACAATGTGGTCGACTTTTATACCAAGGTTTTTATCTTGAATTTTAAAATGATTGTAAATCTCATATAACCTTTTCATATTCAGACTCCAGGTTCTATTTTTAAACATTATGATTTGTGGTCCCTGAAAGAGTATATCCTGGTTCCCCTGGTTGTACAAATCTATCAGGTTCTCCAAGGTGTTGAATAGCACTGAGAGATAAGCTTCTCTTGAGATCGGAGCTGAACCCAACCCTGCAAAAATAAAATAGAATAAGACTTCAAGGTGTTGAATGGTAAGGAGAGAACACCTTCTCTTCTGATCTGAGCTTCTCCCAACCTTGTCGACAAAACGTAAATAATCAATGCTTTATTCCCATCTCCAATTTTTCTGAATATCCTCTAATATTCAAGTTCCTTTTTCAGTGTGCAATAAATATATGATTTTTAAAATCCACTTCTTCCCAACCCGTAGATCCTAATACAGGTTTAGGAGTTAGGACGAATATCTTTACCTGAGAGAATGTTGTTTACACTGATGGTAGGTTCCAGGTTATTCAGGTTTACTCCGCATCCGATATTGACAATAATAGTTGAACCCAGGAAACTAGAGTTAGCAATCACTCCTCCAAGCTTAACCTTCAATACAAAATAGTTTAATAAATTTTAATTATAAATAGTGATTTTATGCTGGGGTTGTAAATGATGGCGTTAATCAAATACTTCCGTTCATATGGGTTTATTAACTCTCAAATTTCAATTTTAATATCAATTCTAGCGCTGAAAGATTGGATTTAAAAGTCTGCGTGTCTAAGTAAGGTTACCACAAAAAGAAATCTCAATTAATAAAAGATCAATTTATGGAAAAGACTTTTTTACCTGGTCTTTATAATAAATATCATTCGGCCACTTCAGTCGAACCTCGAATTGGTTATGAAAACTTCTAAATAAAAAATCCTATTAAAAATTTTCTTTTGAAAATTATTTTGAAAATTTTCTTTTTTAAATTATTTTAAAAATTTTCCTTTTTTAAAATATTAAAAAAAATTTTTTTTTAAATTATTATTTAACCAACCTTAGGGTTTCAGCAACTGCTAATCCAACTATATGCTGAATAAGAGAAGGTTTAGCTCCCATATTAGAGACTAGGTTCAATTGAAGCTAAGAGTTATTCATGAAGTACATTCAAATATTGAGAACAGAATTGAACTGTATATAAACAATAAACAATAACCGGAGAATTTTTTTTATGAAAATGACAGAAAAGCTAAGAGTAAAATCTATAACAATTATACTTATTTTAGAAATCATGCTAAAAATTAAGAAATCAAATGTACTCATTAACCTGAAGAGAAAACATAGCGCAGCCTGGGGGACTAATCCACAAGTTCCCGCCCCGGCCACGCCCTAGAGTCTGCTGATCAGCCAACACAACCAGACCAGGCACAAGAGATGCTCCACCCAGAATATCCATGGTAGAACTGACCAAACATCAATTAATTATTTCAATAAATTAAAGTAAATAAAATAATTGATATGAAGTAGAGACGTTTAAAACATCTTTACTCGCGGATATCCTAGTACAGTGGGACTCATAAAACTCTAGAATAATAAGAGACTGTAAGCCTCAAGATATGATTAATAATAGTCCATGAAAAATGAACATAAAAACACAAATTGCGCAGTGTACACTGTACACAGACGACCCAGTACAGCTTCTGTTGAACCTATTTGCTTTATGACACTATCAAATTCACATAATATTGCGTCTTCTTCTTACACCACAGTTTTTTGAGTCCCACTGAATATAAATTTCTCACAAATTAAGATTAAATTGATGAATTCCTGATTCGCTGGAAATGAAAAATGTTTCTGCCAATTTCTCTGGTTTGAAGATGGGATGAGTATTGCTCAAAGTGGAATGACGGATCTTGGTTCCCAGGACGGAGAATCAGTGTAGAGTCATTATCTTTTACTTCTCTGTCATCCTTATCAAATCTTAGATCTAAAAGAAATATCAATACCATAAAAAAAACATCAATTATAAAAAAAATACCAAATTTTCCTATTGAGAGAGTTTGATTTTTAAGTTTCTTCTTTATTTGATCGTGAAGAAAGAAATCCTCTGAAGAGAAACTATGAAAGAATCCGTTTGAGTTTGACACTGTGGTTAGGTTTGGCGTAGATTCATCTATAACATCTATTTCAGCATCCAGTAAAGCTTTCCCTATTGTAACACTAAAAAATAATTTATTAATTCAAGGTTTATCCTCTTAATTATACAATAAACAAACCTATTTAACTTGTGTATTTTGATAACTTGACCACCAGTATTTCTATATTCATCTATTCCAGTCACAAAACTATCTGACGAATTTTCCTAAATTTTTCGTTGAATGGATTTTAAATTCAAATGAGAATAAGCCAAAATGTTTCTAAAAATAACATTGTTTTCCCTGTAAATTATTTTGATTATGGTAAAATATTAAAATAGAATTTTCATTTTTCGTTTGTTAAAACCTGCAAAATGAGAAGTTTACAGCCAGAACTCCACGAGCTCAATTCTAAATGAGTAATTATTATTTATTTAGTGGGGTGGGGTGGAGATTGTGTGACACCAGTTCTCGAATTAGATCACTTGTCCAAAGGCAGTAACTGGATTGGTCTCCGGACTGGTGTTCACGGGTTCGATTCCCGTACTTCACACAAAACATCTGAAGCCGACATCTGGTTAAGCAGTTATGACTACCTGACGGATGTAGGAGAACTGAGGGGCGGCTGTCAACAACTCTCGCAGCGAAAGGGTGCGTGCTTTCTACTCAACAAGAAAGAAGCTTTAAGTGAATTTATCCAAGTGAAGATGATGAAGAGAGGAATGCTGGACAAGTGGGGAGTCTATGGTTGCCAGCTATAGGTACCTTGTGGTATCCAATCCGGGGTTACAAACGATAGGGAGCAATGAGTGTGATATTTCCTATCTGTATGGCACCCGGGCCTCATTCAAGTATATCAGAAGAATTCCTCAACTCTATTATTCTCAGGCCTAAAAAAGGCCCTTAGGCAGCTGGAATCTTGTCAGAATTTTTCACAGTATGAATGAAGCGTGGATGGATGAATGTGCTGTCAGATTACAACAACTGGTAGATCAATATAAACCCAGACAACACCAAACTTTCGTAACAGAAAAATTACGAGATTTGATCGTAACAAACCCGATCATGTCCTGGGGACAAAAAATCTTTTCTAACTTATTTCTAGTTCCTTACTTAGAAAATTATAAACGGAAAAAATATCTTTACCTAGGTTTTCTTGGGATACAGGATACACAATATACTTTGATGGATTCACTCTTTCCCTGAAAAATGAAAATGTAAAAATTTTAAATCTTTTTTTTAGAAATGGAAAGTTTAGAGTTTAAATGTAACTAGGTATTTTATGTGTCCTTTAATCTTAACTTAAATAATTTTTGAAAAAGTCGAAATTTGAAATTTCATTGATTCCGCAATCTTGTCTTATTTAAATACTATATTCTAGCTAAAATACATTACTTTGTATTTAATTGTCATTAATTACAAAGGTTGGCTTATTGGGTCTGTCCTAGAGAACGATTTTTGGACCCCCTGTCTGGCCAGTTTT